ATTTTTGCTTTTTTATCATTCATCAACTCAGTGTTATATAATATATTATTCAATCAGATTATCTTATAAGCTGTCTTACTAACTGTAATATATTCAGCTTCTGTGATTAATTTAATAATAGATATCTGTCTCTGTGATTATTATGAAATCAGTGACCTATTAATCAATATAATATAGCTAATAGTTAATTTGTATTAAGAATCTGCCCTCACTCAGTCTGAATCACAGTATGTTATAGAACTCAGATTATCTTCTATCTTCTTCTTATACAATATGTCATGGTTTTTTATCTTCTTGATATAATATAGAACATGCTTCAATGCTGCTTAACATGCTTTGTATAAATATGAGTTAAAATGTGAGAGATAGTTAACTGTGAATGTCAGATCTGATCAGCTGCTTGAGATTAAATACTGTAATAATCTCAATTCTTGATAATATCTTATAGCTGTAAAGTTATCATTCAATCTCTCTCTCTCATCAGGTGAGAATTTCAGTTGTATATCAGCTGTTATCAAGATATCAGCTGAATTTATCTTATTCATACTGAAATCTTTAAGAATCTTCTCAATAGAATAACTCTGTATAACTGCTAGATCATCATTTCTCTGATATTTAATCTTCATCTCAAGATATAACTTGATCTCTTTAATATTCTTTGTTTTAAATCTCTTTGTAATCTCTCTCAATACTCAGTATAATTACTGTTCTTGAAATTCTGTCATCTAACAATTATTAATATACAATGTTAGATAGATCTTGTGAACAGAGTGATATAAAAATCTGTCATTATAAGATAATATCTTGAATTCTAATGTAATGAGATGTTTCATTGCTAGAAAATATCATATTCTCACAGCTTGCTTCATTTCATATAGACTCTGATAAAGTAGTCTTATCAAGCTCTTTCTACTGTGCTTAACATCTGTGAGCAGTTGTATATAGATTATCTTATTCTATAATAGTATATCATTCAAAAATGTGAATATATAGTCAATTGATTTGATCTTTCATTCTTTGACAGTTAATATAGTGAATAGACTGCATGATGTAGACTCTGATATCACTGCAGTATACAATCTTGTATAATGAATACTCTGCTGTTGTAAGAACTCTCTAATCACTCAGTGAGCTCTAAAGTGAATAATTTCTCTCTTATTATTGAATTTCTGATCATATACTCATTTATCTGTAAGAATATTCATTTTCAGAGCTTTCTTAATAATAATATATATCTTCTTCTATTCAAAATATCTTAATCTTCTTTTTCATTATCTTATATTAATAGTCTCAGTCTGAGCTTCTTTTAACTTCTGTCAGTGTAGTTGATTAATCTGTCAGAATATTTAGAATAGAATCATTCTTATTAACAGAGTCTTCAGACTCTTTATTCATAATAAGCTGTGTCTTATTATCTAGAAGATAGATTGAATTAATTACACTCTCTAAGTTCTTATTAATAATTATCTTTAAATATCTGACTTTTTCTTTATTAGATGTTATAGTAAGCAGTGCTGTTATCTCTCTCTGATATTCAGAATATTCAATTTATTAAGCAATTCATTGAATTCTCTCACTGTATTTACAGATATATTTACACTCATGTTAAGAGCTTCATTAAATATGACATCTTATACAATCTTAAGACAACATGCAACAGAATCTCATATATAATATTAATATAATTCTTAATATTTAATCAGCTGTCATTCTCTGTCATCAGTTCTATTCACAAGCTTATTTGACACTTTTAAATTCTTCTTATAGATCTTACACTCTCATCTCTGTATTCAATGAACAGAAGATTGCATCTCAGTTCATACTTTAAAAGATGTAAATAATGTTTCTTTCTTACATTTAAATATCTTTGTTAATATTGAGAATGTATTAATCATTATGATCATAGCTTGTATTACTTCATCTCAAAGTTCTCTTTTTAATTTACTATTAAATAGTAGACTTCATGTCTTTTCTACAACTATTTAATTTATATATTTCACTGAGTCATTTGATTGTAATGTATCAGATGTAGTCATTTCATACATTATTTCTTTACTCTGATAGTAGATCTTAAGTTCTTAACTTTTAAACTCTTCTTTATTATCTTAGTGTAGAGTTTCAACTCAATGTTGTGTAGTTATTTTAATACTTATAATGAAGTTCATTAATCTTGTAGTAGATTCTCTCTTTCTTATTATAAGAATTACTCATCTATAATAAGTTGCATTGTCTATTATACTTAATCAGTAGCTTATACTCTCTCTAGTGAGAGTATCATTTCTGTTAAAAAGTGTTTTTTCATTCTCTGTCAGATTGATGAAGAATCTCATTATCAGCTTAACAGCTTATATCATAGATATAAAGATTGAATATGTTATTTTTACTTAAACATAGATCTTGTAAAATGATAAAGCTTATTAATCTATAATTCTCATTCTCAGATGTAAATTCACTGTTATTTTCATAATATCTGCAGAATTCAGATGCTCTAGCTTTTAATACTATTATATTATTATAAGTTTTATAATCTTTGTATCATTCTTATCAGATAGTGTTAATATTGCATCATTACTCTTTATTCACAGTGTATTCACAGGTTTAAAATTATTATTAAGTATAGTGAATCAGATCAAGTCTCTGTATATAACTGACTTTTCTATCTCATAGATATCTCTGTTATTCAATCTTACAGTAAATGAGAATATTCTATCAGAAGATATAAGCAATATGATATGATTATTTTTATATATCAGTTATTTGAAGATATAATCTTAATGTATAAGCTTACTCATACTCATAAGATTCACTTTCAATTTTAAAACATAACAGATATTACTTAGCAGTATATTCACTTCTTTAATAGATATTTTAATATTCTCTATAGTTATAGCTGAGACTACTATTCTGTCTGTTATTTTTAACATTACTTTCATCTTCTGAGATTTTGCTATGATAAAATCTCTATAAGATGTAACATAAGTATCTGATTCAGAGTCTAGAATTCAGATATCTTTTTCTATCTGATTACTTACATAGATCTTTTCTTTAATATAAAATACTTACTTTATAATATTGTGAATAGAAGCAGTATCTGTATTCTCTACATTCTTATCTTTATTCTTATTTCTATTTGTATTAAAGTTTGAAGAATGTTTCTCAGAGTATTTCTTTCAACAGTCAGTCTGAATATAATCAATCTTTTAATAATAATAGTAGATTCTTATATCATTATCTCTATGTTTAGATTTAAATTCAGTGTTCTTATTCTTATTATTATCTTTATTCTTGTCTTTTTTATTCTTATCTTATGCATTATTGATAGAATTTTTAGATATATTAGTATTTACTTTATTCACAGCAGAGAGCTGTAAAAGAATATTATAGTATAGATTTATAAAATTATTCTCTAAGAGTTAAGTATTATCTTTATCAATTTAATTTATTTAATTTCTTATAAATAAGACTTAATCTCTATTAACTTCTGTAAGTAGTCTGTTGAAAAATATAATATTCAGAATCTCATATTTTAGACAGATATAATCAGTTCTTATAATAATTAAATATTTAATAAAAGCTCTATCAGATTCTTTACTTTTAAAGATTATTTTAATAAGCTTTTTAAATAAATAAGTTCTGTATATAGTAGATCTCTTAGAAAAGTTATTCTCTATAATAGTTTATAAAGTATAAGCTGATAATTTAAACTTTTTAAGTATAGTGAAATGAGTCTTAATCTGCAGAGTAATTACAGATTATATATAATTATATAATTAAAGATTATATTCTTTTCAGAAATATTATATATTTATAGTAATATTCTTATTAAGATTATTATCTTTAAAAATATTATCAGTTTCAGACTGTTCTATAGTTAAAAGAATTTTCTCTCTTCATATTAAGTAGTTAATAAATTCAGTGAGAACTATTAATCTTTTAATAAGTCTTACTTAACTTCTGAATTCTTTAAGAACTTTTATTATAATAGATATCTTCTCTTTCTATTAAAGATATTCTATTAAGTCTGCTCTTATCTCATTATCTACAGAGTTATCTCTACTAGTCTTCATTCACTTAATCTTATACTGAAGTCTTGTAATTTCTAGTCTTATATAAGTCTTCTCACTCACTGAGCTATTATTATTTCAGTCATTTAAGTCTCTTACATTATCTGATATCTCACTGATATCTTCAATCAGATCTTTGTATTCATTGTTAAACTTATCAGATCATTCTTTTATAATTATATTATTCAGCTCAAACATCTCAGAAGCTGTCTTCTGATTTATTATTAATATTAGCAGTAATCTGTGATCTTGTGTTTACTGCTCTGATGTTTTCTTATTTCTCTGTCTTGAAGACATGTATTCTTTTATTAAGTCAGACATTCTCCCAGATCTTAGATTAATCATGAGTTTAATTAATCAATAAAAGACATCTAGACATATATAATGATATGTGAAGATGTAGTTAGCACATTATTTCAGCGGTTTTCATTAGCTTAATAAGAGCTTCATAACCTCTTGAAGAATAATGTTATTGTGTTGTAATCTAACTACGCGAGTTACACTAAATGAATAGGTTGAAGTGGCACGTGACTAGAGTAGATCGCCACAGGCAATAGGCTGCAGCTTATCTCAGCGGGCTCAGACCTGTTGATGATTACTACATCTACTCTAGTTACATGCCACCTCAATCTATTCATTTAGTGTAACTCGCGTAGTTAGATTATAACACAATACAACAATGTTATTCTTCAAGAGGTTATGAAGCTCTCTATGCAATGAAAAGCTGTAAAATAACATGCAATTGACATCTCCACGCATTGTTACAAGCGTGTCTAGATGACTTATTAAGTGATTGAACTCATGATTAATCTAAGATCTGAAGAAATGTCTGACTTAATAAAAGAATACATGTCTTCAAGACAGAGAAATGAGAAAATGCCAGAGCAGTAAATACAAGATCACAGATTACTGTCAATATTAATAACAAATCAGAAGATGACTTCTGAGATGTTTGAGCTGAATAAAACTATCACAGAGAAACAGTCTGATAAGTTCAATGTATACAAAGACTCAGTTGAAGATATCAGTGAGATGTCAGACAATGCAGAGAGCTCAAGTGACTGAAATGATAATAGCTCAGTGAGTGAGAAGACTTATATAAGACTAGAAATTACAAGACTTCAGTATGAGATTGAGCAGATGAAGATCAGTAGAGATGACTCTGTAGATAATAAGATAAAAGCAGATCTGATAGAATATCTTCAATGAAAAGAGAAGACATCTATTATAATGAAAGTTCTTGAAGAATTCAGAAGCTAAGTAAAACTCATCAAAAGACTGATTATTCTCACTGAATTCATTAACTACTTAATATAAAGAGAGGAAATTCTTTTAACTGCAGAGCAGTCTGAAACTGATAATATTCTTAAAGATAATAGTCTTGATAAGAATATTACTATGAATATACAATATTTCTGAAAAGAATATAATCTTTGATTATATAATTATATATGATCTGCAATTGCTCTGCAGACTAAGACTTATTTCACTATACTTAAGAAGTTCAAATTATCAGCTTATACTCTATGAACTATTATAGAGAATAACTTTTCTGAGAGATCTGCTATATACAGAACTTGTTTATTTAAAGAGCTTATTAAAATAATCTTTAAAAGCAAAGAATCTGACAGAGCTTTCATTGAATGTCTGATTGTTATAAGAACTGATTATATCTGTCTAAAATATGAGATTTCAGATGTTATGTTTTTCAACAGACTGCTTACAGAAGTTAATAGAGATTAAGCCTCATTTATAAGAAATTAAATGAATCAAATTGACAAAGATAATACTCAATTCTTAGAGAATGATTTTATGAGTCTGTGCTGTGATATTCTTTTATGACTTTCTACTGTGAATGAAGCAAATACTGATGTGTCTAGAAATTCTATCAACAACATGCAAGATAAGAATAAGAAAGACAAGGACAAAGAGAAAGACAATGATAAGAATAAGAACACTGAATTCAAATCTGAATGTAGAGATAATGATGTAAGAACCTGCTATCATTGTTAAAAGATTAGTCATATTCAGACTGACTGTTGAAAGAAATACTCTGAGAAATATTCTTCAAATTCAAATTTCAACACCAATAGAAACAAGGATAAAGACAAGAATGTGAAGAATACAGGTGCTGCTTCTGTTCACAATGTCATGAAGCAAGTATTTTGCATCAAAGAAAAGGTCTATATGAGTGATCAGACAGGAAAAGATATCTGAATTCTAGACTCTGAATCAGGCACTCATGCCACACCTCACAGAGATCTTGTTGTGACAAAACCTCAGAAGGTGAAAGTGATGTTGAAAATGACAGACAGAATGATAATCTCTGCTGCAGCTATAGAAGATACAAAGATTTCAGTGAAAGAGATGAATATGCTGTTAAATGATGTCTGCTATGTCTCAAAGTTAGAAGTGAATCTTATGAGTATGAGTAAGCTTGTACATCAGGGTTATACCTATAAGCTGTGGTTCGGAAGAACGTACGACCGTCGGATAATAACGCGGCCGCTTCCGAACTACTAGCGTACGCGTGTAAAGGGGCCATAGTGTACACTAATTAATTTAGTGTATGAGATTACAATATAAGAAGCCGGTGTACATCTGTAATTATACACTGGCTTAAGCAACCTTTGAATCACATCTGATAGCATGTCTAAAACTGGTGAGAAGCACAGGCTCCTCCAGGACATGATAATTCTGTCTATGAAGTGATTCATAGTTATCATGTCAGTGTGGTCCTAGAACGCCTCAAAAGATAGCATATGAAGAGTGATGAGTGAAAGAGCATTCAATTGATGCTGCTTTGCTTATTGGGGGAAAACTCCACACCCAGGCGAATGCCACATATGAGACGCGAACAGATGAGGTGTGAGAAAGGGGATGAGAGCAGTGAACCAGATTCAAAGAAGTCTGCTCCCTATTCAAAAGAAGGATAAAAGGGGGGATGGCCACCACCAGAGTCATACAATGATAACAGAGCAATATAGCAATATAATGATATAGTGATATAATGATACAGTGATATAGTGATATAATGATACAGTGATAACAATAGACATCATACAATCAATAAGAAACCACTGAAATGAATACCTTCTCTAGCTGATATAAACAACACCCTTCTCTGCTACCTGAACTGGAAGATATGCAGAACCTCTCAGAGGGTTTACTTGAAGCAGTAAGAAAAGCAGCTGAGACTGCTGAACTGGAATTGAAGCTCCATACATGTATGAGAATTCTAAACAAGATTGAGGTCTTGTGTACACAGTGGCAGGCTGAGGCAGAGACTAAACAACAATTGACATTCACTGCAGATCAAGCATCCACTATGAAGAGCTTCACTGATGCAATTGCCATCATTAATAAGAATAGAGAAAACCAGATCTTAGGCCTGCAGCAGAAGATTGAATGTTTACACAGACAGACAACTATGCTGAACCTGGAGATCTCATCATGATTATTCACAACCTCTTCAGAAGTGTACACATCATCAGAGACCGCTGTGCAGGATAAGAATCTGAGCATGAAATACATCAAGTTGAGAGATCTGTCAGAGCCACTAAGCTTCAATAGTGACTGAAAAAATGATGCTGCAATCAGCTGGCTAAGTCAGATGTGATCATATTATCAGATTGAATGTGAACTCACAGACAGGCAGTCAACAGAATTTCAACAAGTCTTAAGATCTGCTGCATTCCTACGCGAAAAAGCGAAGTCATTATGAATGACTGATGAAAAGATAAACCTCACAGACTCAGAGTGATATTCATTCTCATGAACATGGAATGAGTTTTTCAAGTGAATCTTACATAACTTTGAGAAAGTGAACATGTGAGACAAGTGTTATGAATACTTCACTGAGTGTAGACAAGTGAACAATCTTACATTGTACTTCACACACTTCAGCTTACACTATCTTGTGTTGAATGAAGAGCTTTTAACATCTTTCTGTTTACAGATCTTCATTCATGATCTTACACCTGAGTTGAGAGTGAAATGAAAATGCTTAACCTCACAGCCAGGCACAGTGAAGGAAGCATACAACATCCTCATTGTACAGAAATAAGCAAGTCAATTGTGACAGAAAATACTGCAATCAAGTATGTCTCAGTGAAGAACAGATAATCAGACTTCTATGACACAAGCCACACATCTGAACACAATGAATCTAGATCTGAATGCTATCACTAAAGCACTGAATCCTCTGAAAAAGGGATCCCCTGAGTGGAAACCTTGATATTGTGAGCATTAAGCTTGTTTCAACTGTGAATGTCAAAATCATGATGCAAAAGATTGCACCCAGCATACACAGTCAAAAAACTAGCAGAATCAGTGAGCTCAGAGACACTCACTGATATTCTATGAAAAGTCTTCAAAGTGAAAGAGATGCCTGCATTAGATGATCCTCTGAATCCTGCAAATGCAAAGAAGAAGCAGGCTTCTGACTGAGATGCAGATGAGAATGAAGTGAATATCCATCTCAATGCCTTGAGACCTGAAATGTTAATGTATAAGAGACACTTGAGTAAGAATTGAGAGGTGGCTGCAAAAGTGTTAGCAGACACAGAAGCTTCAACACAATATATTGATAATTATATAATTCAAAGATTGAAAGAGGTCTGCTGAGTGAAGAATCCCTGATGCATAAGATTACCTGATAATCAATATTTAATATCACCTGCAAAAGTAAGAGTTCTCTTGCACTTTGAAGGATGATCTTGCTATATTTGAGCGCGAGAGCTGCAGAACATGAAATATAACCTCATTCTCAGACTTGATTGATTTCAAAGATTCAATCTGCAGATTCAATGATGTACATGCCATATGCAGTTGACTGATAGGAAGAAAATGATTCATACAATTCTATCAACTGATATGAGAAGGACATTCCATACCCCTGATATAGAAGGGTTAAATCTGCTTACACATTAACAAGCAAAGAGAACAATTTACAAGACCTCATCTGAAAGCATTCTGTATGTCATACAGGACCCAGAAGTGGAGAAAACCAAGATAAAAGATATGCAGGAGGATAAGTGTATGAAGGAGCTTCTGAAGAAGCATGAGAAGGTCTTCTGAACAGATCTTCCACCGGAATTGCTGCTGGAACAAGGATTCATATATGAGATTGACATGGGAGATGCAAAACCAGTCAATCAGAATGTGTATCCTCTGTCACAAATGCATCTCAAAGAACAGAAGTATCAGATCACAGATCTTCTAGAACATGATCTCATACAATTCTCATCAAGCACATGAGGCTTTCCAGTCCTATTCATGAAAAAGGCGGGTGAAGAGTGATGAATGTGTATCAATTATCAAGCACTTAACAAGCTAATGATCAAGAATGAATATTCACTGTCACAGATTTAACAACAGTTGAATACAGTCAGAAACACCTGATATCTATCAAAGATTAATCTTCTCTCAGAATACTGGCAGATCTGCATAGATGAACTGTCAGTCCCATGAAACTGTGTTTAATACACAATGAGAAAAGTTCAAATTCCTAGCAATGTCATTTGCTCTGACAATGTGCTCATCATCTTTCAAATGATGATGAATACAATTCTTTATAAACAGAATGAAACCTCATGCCTCATATATCTCAATGACATTCTAGTCTTTTCAAACTCATACAATGAATATCTGAAGCATCTCAATGAAGTGCTTACAACTCTGACAGAGTATAAGCTCTATGTCAAATCAATCAAGTGTGTGTTTGAAATGAAAGAGTTGAAGTTCATGAGACATGTAGTGAGTGATGGCTGTATACACCTCATTTCAGAGAAATTGAATGTCATAGTGAATTGACCATGACTGAGAAATGTACATCATGTACAACAGTTCCTTGAGTTGATCTCATACTACTGCAGATTCATCAAGGATTTCACACAAATATCTGCATCACTCTCAGATCTCTTAAGAGAAATGAATGCAAATCTGTGAAAGAAGAAGTTTCATTCAATCATCTGAAATGCTGCATGTGAAGAGGCTTTTCTCACACTGAGAGAATGTGTAACAACATTCTCAGTGCTTATTCAATCAGATTGTGATAAACCTTTCTACATTGAGACAGATGCATCTGAATGAGCTATTGAAGATGCTCTTCTACAGATGAGTAAGGATGACAAGCTGCATCTGATGATGTACAATGATAGGAAACTATCAGGTGTCAAGCTCAATTACTCAGTGTATGAAAAGGAATTGCTAGTGATCAAGCACACACTGGCATTGTGAAATAGATATATTAACAACAGGCATACAACAACAGTGATCATGGATTATGAAAGTCTCATCTATCTACAATCAATGATAAAACCTTTCAAACATTTAGCATGTTGAATCTTGAAGTTTCAAGTGTATGATCTTCATATCAAATACTGAAAGAGATCAGACACAGTGGTGCTGAATGCAATCAGTCACAGACCTGATTTCATGAGTGAGAGTCCTGCAAACCAGGCATAAGAGATGTTTGTGTTAAACACACTGAGAAGATGCAAGGAATCAGAATGAGTGAACACTATGATCTCTCACTTGAAGAATAGCAAGATGTCAGATGACAAGCATCTCATGAAAATAGTAGAAGAGATGCTTCCAAACTTCAAGCTGAAGAAATTGAAAAATGATGTTATGCTTTATCATGATCTAGGATATGCAGAAGCTCCCTCTCTAGAACCTTCATTTAGATGTGACTTGGTGCTCATATGCAGAT